CTTAATAAATTAAAAACTTCCGTATTTGTAATTATGCGTGAATGTTCAAGAAGAATCTATAAAAACAATACAGCAATTTAATTGTATATTTATTTATTAATAATAAATATATAATATTGTAATAAAAAGTTACCCAGTCAAAAACAGGTCGTGCGAGCAATATTGAATTAGTAGTGTTGTATAATGACCCCCAACGTGTTGGGCACCACGATTCTAAACCTTCAGACCATATTTTCATATTTGACAACCCTTGCCTTAATAATGCTAATTTTTGGGTTGATTTTGTAAAGTGCTTGATAATTTTTCTACATTGATCAATAAATATCTTGATTTCACGAATTTTTGATAAATCCGTCGCGATTAAGTTAATGGCGTGGGCTATACACCTGATATTTAATATGTGCGGATACTTGGCTTGAATCTTTTCTCTAGCTGATTTGGGATTTGCTGCAGAATCAGTGATAATGGCGGCAAATTTTCGAGGTCCAATTCTTTCAATAATATCCACGATTTCGGAAGCAATAAAATTGCTAGTGTGAGATTCTGCTGAATAATTGCGTAAAGAAATCAGATATTCTTTTCGATCCATAGTCGTTACAATATAATTATATAACGATTCTCCACGTTTTGATGTCCACCCATCAAGTGCTATATTAATAAGAAAATTTTTTTAAAAATTTTTTTTTAAAAAAATTTTTTAATTATAAATTATAATTATGACATACTTAAAGTTAAATGTTCCGTATGCTCTAAATCATTATTAATATTATTTTGTATTCGTGCAAACTCTTCATCAAGTAATCTCCCAGATAAAGTTGTACGAGACGGCAATATATATGCAGGGTTAAGACTTTTAAAAAGATTCTTAATGTAAGGATTTTCAATTACTTCAAACGGGATATTTGCCATTACCCATGCTCTTAAAAGATTCTCATTGTAACTAATGCTAACTTGTGGTGGTAAAACCAATTGTGATTGCGAATTTCTTTTATTGGCATTATCAACCTCTATAAGCTTATTACGCCAATATCGTTGGATATCCTCTGGAACATTTTTGCAATGAAGTGCTAGGTGAGACCTTAAAATACAAGGTTTACCTCTCTGCCAGACTTTTTCACAGTGATAACATTCTGCTTTATAGTGTCCTGGATTTACTTTTTCACGCCTAATAACATAGTCCCATACTTCGTCGAAAACTGGCCCACCTTGTCTATTTCTTTTTTGAGATCGATCATTGCTAGTTTCAGATTCGGATTGTGAAGTAACATCAGCACAAGGCTCTAACGGCATAGAATTACTAGAATCTATTTCGTCAATCAAAGGCATATTGGCAATTTATATAATTTATTTATAACTTTAATTTGTTGGCTTTTTTTTTTTAAGAAAAATTTTTTTTGTTCAATTTATTTTATTTTATTTTTCAAGAAAGTTAAATTGCGATTACTAAGCTAAATTACTTATATCATGCTTAAATCACGTATATTAATCCTGCATCACGTCCATTATCACAGTTTACGACCAAAAACTTAGTTACGACAAATGTCGGCTATTATGACATACATTAGTTATGGCACTTTTGACGTCACCGCTCATCTTTTTGACGTAACCACATGTCCTCAATTTTCTGCACCTATACACGCAAGAGATCAAGGAAGCATTATCAAAAAGGGTAATTCCCAGCATTCCGATCGATAATGTGGAAATTCCGAAAGTGTGAATCATCGCAAGTTAATTACATTAAAATCAATTAAACTACATATCGTGGAATAAATCTTAACCGCTTAAAAAATAAATTCATAAATAAAATCTTTCTTTGTAAAATCATGTGATAGTGGTTTAGACTGTTGGCCAAGCTCATAGGACGGCTTTCATTTTCAAAAGTTAGTCTAATAACGACCGCCTAAAAATCGAACTAGGTTTAATTTCTCTAAAACAAAAAGTAATTTTGACTATTTCAATAATGGAGTATATATAGCATTATAAAGAATATGCAGTTATTTGATGGTATTAAATAATATAGTTGTAGTTTGAACGACCTGTCAAGCAGAATTTTGTTAATGGAATACGGGTAC